CATGTCCTTAGACACAAGAAGAGGGAATACCAGCAATAGCAACACCTTGATTGCAAATGCATAGCTAGCCGGTCCACAGTACCATATCTGCATTTTGAACCACACTCCCAGTCTCCACTTCACATTTTGAACCACTACAACAGTCTCCACTTCACATTTCTTGCTGGAATATCATACACTTTCCCAAGGAATTAAACAGAAGCATCCATAGAGCAAAATCCTAGCTCTGAGTAAGTTTAATAGTAAGTTTAGTGTTTAACCAAATATGTTTTTCATCTGGACTTTTCATTACCAACTTTTCAAGAAGGATAGTTAATAACAGTGATTTTGATAATTACAGTGCATCTGATGCCACATGTTCACTTTTTATGCAGCTGACAGAAATCGCTGTAAAATAGCATGAAATTGACTCTTTGCTCTGCAGTGGAAAGGTCATATGAAAAGTTGGCTCATGTTTACACAACTGCGAGCATACGGGTATTCACCATATGTGGCATTGGTCCTGACCCTTAAAGAAGCATTGGCATGTAGACAGTGGAATTAATTATCAACTTAAATAAAGTAATTGATCTGGTAGTGGCCTCAGTTTTCTCTGACTGGAGGTTGGAAAACAGGAAGAAGGATTTCTAATTTGATTTTGCACACATATATAGTCTCAGTGCCAATGCTGAGATACTTTTTTATATTTTTACTTCAGGCATAGGGTTGCCAACCACCAGGTGGGGGCTAACAGACCAAAAACCACTGTGGTAAAATTAACAATGACACATTTAATAATTCTATGAGGATCAATTTATGAAGCTACTCATGAGGAAGATTGGTGAAATGGGTGTGCTCATTGAGGATATGATTATGTTGGACATTGCTCTGCCTATATCTGAATTACTTAACCATATTCTAATATTAATAGCTTCACAAATTGATCCTCATAGAATTATTAAATGTGTCATTGTTAATTTTACCACAGTGGTTTTTGGTCTGTTGACATGTATCTGCACACTGTGACCCCTTCTCTGGCTTTTTTGAACCACCAGGTGAGGCCTGGTATCCTCCCAAAATTAATAATGAACTCCAGATGACAGAGATCTGTTCCCGTCAAGAAAATGGCAGTTTTGAAGGGTGGAATCTATGGTATACCATAGAGCCTATGGTATACCTTAGAAACTAGAAAAACTGGAAATCACTCCCTAGGCACTGCCCCCAAATCCCCAGGAATTTCCCAAGCCAGAACTGACAACCCTATTCAGAAGCAAAATGTGTTAGGATTCTTTTGGAGCAGATAGGGATTTAGTATTTTCAGTTAATCAATCAACATTTATTAGGATTATCAGATAAGTCAACAGAATTAGTATTTTGTATCACTATTTTAAGTTCATTTTTAAAAGGGATTCACAGCCCCATACCATCACCTTTCACTGCTTCCTTTTCTCCTTCCTATGCACCCACCCACCAAACTTTTACCTGCCCCACATCTATCTATCTATCTATCTATCTATCTATCTATCTATCTATCTATCTATCTATCATCATCTATCTATCTATCTATCTATCTGAAACCGGCTGCTTCTCCCTTCCCCTTCCTCTCATTGAAACCAAGGCTTGAAGGCTTGCAATACTGTTGTAGTTGCCTAGCTACAAACTGCTAGATTGGTTTTCATGACCGTTAAGATGACTCATCAGATCAGTGGGACCCCAATGAGTAGTCTAATTAAGTTTGTACTTTCTTCAGACAAAGAGACTGCTAATTAAGTTTGTACTTTCTTCAGACAAAGAGACTGCATGTATAGGAAGTGTTTTTTTTATTTTAAATGGTTATTGGTACACAAATGGCTGATTTAAAGATCCTTGGAAATGCACAATCAGATATTTACTAAGGTTCCTTAGTGTTAGGATGCTGAATTATTCCCACCATACTCATGACACCACCCAATTCTGGCCCGTACACCTGTGTGGCATCAGTGGAGGGCTACACTGATATATATATGTCTCTGTTTTGCTGCCAGGACTCCATATGGAGGCCTGGGTGACAACCTAAAAAAATTTCAGAATAGGTTTAGGATTGTGGCCTAACCCCTCTGAAACATTTGAAATGGCTTATGGACTTCATTAGTAGGTTTGTTTAGCTGTTGCTTGTTTCACTTGTAAAGCTGCCAAGTAAACAAAATAATAAACACTCTGGGGAGAAAGTCCCTGTAATTGGTAACCTTTCTTACATATATAAATTACTTCTACATACAACTGTAGGAGCAAAGTTGCTGTTATGACAATCCAAACAACCTTCAGGTGAGTAAGAGATTTTTTTTAAAAAAATTCTAGTGAGAAAATGATTAAAAAATAAACTCATTTCCATAAATGATTGCATATGTAGTGAGACCTTTTGAATGTGACAAAGTCAGTTCCACTGGCTGCTTGGGATTCACCCTGTGCACTGAAATTTTCTAGGTGTCATCTTGGTATGACTGGTAAACAGAATAATTTCAGCACTTATGTCCTTTGCCCCCTCAATAACCAGTTATTGTGCCCCCTCAATAACCAGTTATAGTGACTACCACACCAAAATTACACAATTGGAGTTATCAAGTTCAATTCATGTATTTCTTCTCCAGCTAGTATTCAACAGTTGCAGAAAGAAATCCATACATGTCAGCATGGTGTGATAAGGTCAATGGTTTCTTTTCAGAAGACAGTCCTAGACAGTCATCAACTCAGATGTTTCCAATGCAGAAATTTGAACTTAAAAATTGTACCTAAAAAAACCATAATGTGGCATAGCACATTTTTAAAAATGTTTGTTGTTCAGTCGCACAGTCGAGTCCGACTCTTCGCGACCCCATGGATCATCTCCCGCCAGGCCCTCCTGTCTTCCGCCGTCCTCTGAAGCTGGCTCAATTTCATGTTCGTTGCATCGATGACACTGTCTAACCATCTCATCCTTTGCCGTCCCCGTCTTAAAAATGTATATGTGACTAAATCCATCATTGTATATTCATTAGTATCCTGTTGGCTGGAATCAACAGTATGACAACACAATCCTAAAAAGGGTTTCACTCTTCTAAAGTCTACTGAAGTCAGTGACTTTAGCAGGATGTAACTCTATTAGGACTGAACAGCAACAGTGGGATTTTCCTGGACTTCAGTGGGTTTATCCAGGACTACCTCTGCATGTACTTTTACAGTAATTTTTTACATAGTGGCAGAAACATAGCTTTTGAGGTCTGTCAGTAGTTCTCTGCCTAAAGTTCACATTCTTTTAATAATATATTCTTAGAAAAAACTCATACTGTCCCCAAGCCTGGAATAAATTCTCATGAAGTTCACCAGATTTAGGATCTTTGTCCCTCCCAATCAGTTCTGAAGACTGATTTTTCCACACAAATCTGTTGTTTTCATTATGTCTGTTTGATTGTACTGGAACAGCCTAGTTACTCATCTCCCCCCCCCCCCATGTTGGGTTGTATTGTTACTGTTCTTGTGTGTACTGCCATTTCTCCCACCTTGATAATTTCTTATTGAAAAGTGGATGTGTACTGGCTAAATCAATCTATTAATAACATAGTAACCTCTCTCTCTCTCTCTCTCTCTCAGATCACAGTTGAGCACTGTTCCACTATAAGCTAACAGAAAATGACAATTCATTGGGAATGGTGGCTCACCATCTATCTTCTAAGGTGCCATCAGTACCTAGAATGCAATGCTTGTACTTTGTGCAAAGCAACGTCTGTAGACATGGGAACTTCATCTATTTTCCATGTCCACAGCCTTATGAGTCTTGTTAAAGGAAATGGGCACAGGAAGTAATATTTAAAGACAGGTCAAATAAAAGAGTGGGAAAACTTTTGTGAAAAGAAGCAGATTCTATAAAACATTTTATGGAAAAAAAAGTATAAACATCAGATTATTTCCTTTTTTCTTCTAGATTCAATCTATGGGAAAGAAAGTGTGGGAAAACCAAACGATGGTTACAGAATTTATCCTTCTGGGGTTTGGAGATAACCCAGATTTTCAGATATTTCTCTTCTTTGTAGTCCTGTTTATCTACATGGTCACCATGGTTGGGAACATCCTCATTGTTGCTCTTGTTGTGGCTGACCAACATCTGCACACACCCATGTATTACTTCCTGGGAAATCTTTCCTGCTTGGAGACCTTCTACAGTTCTACCATCCTCCCCAGGATGTTGGCCAGTTTTGTGACTGGAAACAGATCCATTTCTTTCATTAGCTGTTTTTTACAGATGTATTTCTTTGGTTCTCTCGCTGCAACAGAATGTTTCCTCTTGTCTGCCATGTCATATGACAGATACTTGGCCATCTGCAAACCTTTGCACTATACAACCCTCATGAACAATAGAGATTGCCTCCATTTAATTGTTGGGTCTTGGATAAGTGGCTTTCTAGGAAATAGCATATTGTTTCCTCTGCTGCAGTTAACATTCTGTGGGCGGAATGACATCGATCATTTCTTTTGTGACTTCAACCCCTTGCTAAAATTATCATGCAGTGACACTCATAAAATAGTCATTTTTGCTTTCATAATTGCTTGCATATTCACATTGCCTCCTTTTCTCTTGACCTTGACATCCTATGTTTGCATCATTACCACCATCTTGAGAATCCCCTCTTCTGTAGGAAGGCAAAAGGCTTTCTCCACTTGCTCCTCCCATCTCATAGTGGTTACCATTTTCTATGGGACACTAATGATAGTCTATATGATGCCCAAAACCCAAGCACTGGGAGACCTGAACAAAGTCTTTTCAGCTTTTTACACGATCCTAACTCCTATGGTCAATCCCCTTATATACAGCCTGAGAAATAAAGAGGTGAAACAAGCCTTGAAGAAGGTTCAAGAAAAAATAATGCCAGCTAGATTCCTAAGCTAAAACAAAGGGTGTTGTGAATGTTTAGGTCCTACAGATACTTTTGAACTACAATAAAATAAAATATTGCTTGTGCTTGTACTAGCTCATGAGACATCTGTATTTGATCAGTAGAAAAGAGGAAATGTGTGATCTAATGATTAAAGTTGAAATTAGTTCACTTCCATTTTATAGGTATGATAAAATTCAGGCATTTGGAATCTTCCATGGAGTGTTCCTGGAATTTAGGGATGTGGAAAAACTGGTAGCTGACAATATATCCCTGGTTGCAGCTAGAAACTTCCTAGTAATAATTTGTGCAAGTACAATGTCTGATTTTTGGATTGCTGTGTTCATATCAACCATTGCTCGTAAGTAGGTATGTGTAAACAAAGAGTTAGACTAAGGCCATTTGTCATTGGAAAAAAAAAAACTTGACTTGGGTAGATTCACTTCTATTTTATCTTCCATGTTAGATACTATGGTATAGATACTATTGTATCATAACCTCTCAACTTGTAGATTTTCCTCTGACAAACAGAAAATCCAGGCAGTGAATGATTACAATGGCAAAATATCCGTCCATGTGTTTATCCACTATCTGATTCTTTAGTACTGGAATTACAACTCATATTAGAAAATTAATCCAGAGTAATTTCCAGTGGGTTCACTATATTTCCAGGTGGGATGAAATTATCAGAAGTCAAATCGGTCACCCAAGTGACGCTCCCTCCCAAATTCTAAGCAGAATTTTAGAAAGTGACTATGTTTTGTAGGAGAAAGAAAAGCAGACTTGGAGAATAATATTTCAAGCACAAGAGAGTGCAGGATGGGTTAAAACTTAGCTCCCCCTTCTATGTGCTTGACAAACAGATATGCACAAGGTTTTGCTGGTTCATTCCCTCTCCTACTTTCACAATTGTGCTATTTTTCAACATAAACTCATCTGAGAGTACTGGGTCATACAGATGATATCACTCCGTATCAGTCCAAACATGGCCCATCTACCCTGGCTCCTGATTTGTTTTAAGGCACAATTCGAGGTGACAATGTTGATCTTTAACATTCTATATGTTTTGTAAGCAACATGCCTACTCCTTTGTGAATCTGTCCAATCATTTGGTCATCTTCAAAAGTCCAGCTTCAGGTGCCTCCACTTTCTGAGATTATGCCGGTGGAAATTCAGGAGAAAGCATTTTAGGTTGTGGCACCAAAACTCTGGAATTCTCTCCCCAGGGAGATTCATCTTTCTCCTGTTGGCATCTTCTGTCAGTGGCCGGAGATTATTTTGTTTGCTGGTTTTGTCATTATCTCGGTGATCTGTCCTGCCTGACCAGTGTTTTAATGTATGTTTTATGTCTTTATATGTTTTAGCACTGGTTTTAATTGCTTTAACAATGTGTTGTTGTTGTTAATATTTTGGTTGGTTTCATAATTGAAAGCCTATCAATTAATTGTAATACATCTATGATTCTAGTGTTTTCTAAAAGCAGGAGATGCCCCCCCCCCAAGATGGATTATAGATGGATATAATTGAACAAGTCAAAACCTCTTTTCTTATATAGATATTTTGTTTTCAGCTGATCTGTCCTGGAAATCTCACTTTATATTTGATCTTAATAAGGCAAAACTGTGCTCTGGAGCTACCAGAAATTTATTTTAATCTGAAGGGGGCAGATATCTACCTGGAGCTCTTCAGGTTTGCAACCTGAAAGTTGTTTTCCTTGTTTGGATCTGCAAATTGAAGAAATACAGTTACTGAGAAGATTGATATTCCATTCTCCCAGTTTCTAAGAAGACTAATGAATATTCCCTTTTGTGTTTTCAGTGTTGCCTTGTAGGCAGAATTTGGACAGAAGTCATTAGAAGCTAGAGCATGGCTCCTTTCTTTTAAACGGAGGTTAAAAAAATGTTTTCTAATGACAGTCTACTTGCTCTTCTGGGAAAAGTCTTTAAAATCTATGTGGCTGAAAATGGTAGACAATAAACTGTTATTAATTGGTATGACCCCTGTGATGGGCTGTGCTTTGAAAGCTCACAAGTGCATTAAACATATGTGACAGCCTGTAAAGGGTTAATGCCTCACAGAATCAGAGAGCCTTTGAATGACAGGCTGTTCAAAGGGATTTGATTGGTTAGTGTCAGTTGAGAAGAAAGAGTTGGGAACTGACCGCTGAAGAAAACTCAGTTGGGCACTTACTGAGGCCTGGGAAGGTTGGCAAGGAGGAGTGGGAGGATCACTGAAGACTGTCACTCAGACAGTTTAGAGAAGTAATTCTCTGCCCAGTTGAAAAGGGAGATAGCTCTAAAGAGTGAAGTGATCCCTGGTTTGTTAAGAGAAGGATTTTGGGTACTTGGTAGTGCATCCCTGCCTTCTGAAACCTGAAGAGTCAGTTAAACTTAAAAAATGTATAATGGAGTGCTTAGCTGACACTGAAAATACAGCCTCTCATTTCAAAGATTCTAAGACCTTTGTGAAAAGCTTCAGCCTCTCACTTGCTGGAAACATATTAACTGGAGTTTGTGAATTTACTGTTACCTCAGAGTTGTTATTGATTCACCTCAGATGTTTTATCCCTGATTTTATGTGACCTTTCCTTCTCTATGTTGAATAAAATATTTTGTTTATTTTTAAAGTTTCAATTGCCTCTCATGTGCATTTTCAGAAGTATAAGTTAAGGAGGTGATCTTGTCTCTTCCCTCAAGTTCCTGGGCTGAGCCAGCATCAAGATACAACAACATGACAAGGTGGGACAGCTCTAAACCTTCAAATGAGAAGAAAATAAAGGGGCTGCTCAGCCAGCTAGGAAGGGGAAAATGGATGGGAAAGAAAGGAAATAATGGATGCATGTGAGGGAGGGAAGAGGGTAAGATCACCATAACTTCCCCCCCCCAAAAAAATGCATTGACCTGAGGAAAACATGGTTCTCTTAGCTTGATTAGGAAATGTGTCTTGGAGATTTATCACCACAGTACTTTAGTACCTTAGTAAGAAGCCACCATGTTTTTCTTCTTTGTTTTATGGCATCTCCCCATCTAATGTATTACCATCTTATTTCTATTATCTCTTAGTTCCACAATTTTGTAGGGCATTCTTGTTTGCTAGGTTGAACATAATTCCTTCTGTGGTTTTACTGAGAAAAATTCAGCGACAGATAGTGTTATTGCTGGACTCTTGTCTGCTGTCTGCAAATGATTGAAACACCTTTCCACATTTTGCTTGAGTGCCTTATGTTTGCGACTCCCAGAAACCACTATATTATGCCCATATTAAGCAACCGCTTACCCTCCTACTCCTCAGAAACGTTTCTCTTCTAACTCAAAGATAAATGATGCAACAGTTACATTGGGTGTCACTAAAAATTCAGTTCTTTTAACTCTTGGTTCCAAATAGAATATCTAGAATTTTTCTGCTGCTCAAGATTATATATCTTTGAGCTTCTGGGTCTGAAAGGAAAGGAATTTATTGCAATCTACTATGATTTGAATTGATGGGATCCAGTAAGTTTTTGTACTCAATTCCATCTTCTCCTTCTTAGTATAGCCCACATAACCTTTGTCCATGTAGGTCCCATGATCCCCAGCAGAGCCTTTGTGGGTGGTCAAAGGGTACGTTCCCTCTCCTTTTCACCAGAAGAAAAGCTGGCTATATCTAGTCCAAAGTATGGGTTTTCTCATGTGTAGTATGAGCTGGACATACATTGGCAGCATACTTTGGTTTTCCTGACACACACATGGTGGATACTGATAGCTTTGAAAAGGTCAGCTTATCTGCTGTGTAGAAGGAAGGGGGAGATTGGATAGGTTCAGTCAGGGCTTTTTTCTGGGGGAATGTGCCAGAACAGAGTTCCAGAACCTCTTCGACAAAATTCTTTTTAAAATGTGTAAAAGTTCATGAATTTTTAGTATACAGGTTGAAACCTTCCTTTCCCTCTTGAGAGTTCAAGCACCACTTTAAGCCCTGGATTCAGTTGTCCCTCACTCCAAAGAGGTGATAATCACTACTATTGGTCAGAGAACTGCAGGCTCTCCTAGGTAGTTAGAAATGAGTTGTTTCACTCCAAGTAGCACATGTTTGCACATAACACTGGAAGTTGATACAATATGAGTGGGTGAAATTCATACATATCCTTTTGCATGTATCTTCAATCCACAGCAACATCATGATCAACAAGTGAAGATAATTTTAGTATGCAAAAGATGTATATGATGAATCAATTTGGTGTCATAGTGCATTGGACCTGAGAGACCTGGCTTCAAATCACTGCTTAGCTATGAACTTCTCTAGGACACTCACTTTCTTTCAGTCTAGTCTACTTCACTAAGTTGTTGTGATGACAAAAGGAATTCCTCTTACTCATACAGCCAGGGAAATGGGACCCACTGAATTTTCTGCATCTATACATTTGTAAAATTTCTGCATCTGTAGAATTATTAAAGCTTACATAAAGAAGGGATTGACTTTGCCTGCTTAACCTTCCCCACTGTAGCCACCTGATCCACATTGCTATTAAGTTCACTTTTGTCCTGCAGCCCTGGGAATAAACTTTCTCAGGGTCAGAAGACTGCTATAGGAAGGGTATTCCCCCCCCCCCAGTTGTCATCCTTACTACATCCTTTGTCTGCCATGGATTTTGCTCATAGGAGTCCCACAATGCACAGCATAGCCTTTCTGGGGGGTCAGAGAAGACCTCTCCTCCCCTTTTCACCCTCTGGTTGGATACCACCCAATGTGTTTAATAAATCCAGGATTGAAGAGTTTTAAAGATAAAAAACAATATTTGATTTGAATGTGAATGAACCGTCTGGTGTAACAAAGTGCTATTTCTTACTTTTGTACATTCTGTATGTCACATGAGTTTTATTACTTTAATAACTAAACTCTAAGGTTGGAATGCAAATGAAAGAAACATGTCAACATCATTATGACAAATTCATTAGAAATCTCTAAGCTTCTCTTCCTTAGGGACAGTTCACCATGTTTTGAAAGAGAGTTCTCAAATCAGCCTGTCCATCCTTTAGAGTGGAGGCATTAATGGAGTAAAACTGAAGAATTATAACTCCCATTTTCAATCAGAAATGTTGTGAGGAAATAAAAAGCACTAGTTTTCAGCAGTTTCAAATTTCCACTTTTCCACTTGAATAGTAGACTACATAGAAGTAATCGGTTGTGCTGCTTGGATTTCCAGGTGAGACTAGATCTTTTTTCCTTGAGAATTATTAAGTAGTAATATAGGCACCTATGGTTAACTGCTTCCTTTTCTATGGTAAGTAAAACTCTTCATATAACTTAACAAAAACAAAGTTCAAGCCTCTTTTTAATGTACAGGGTATTCTGTCTGTTTGTCTGTCTGTCTGTCTGACTTCATGCTTGCCTGCCTGCCTGCCTGCCTGCCTGTCAAGATAGAGAACATCATACCTACTTATGTAGTCAGTAAGGTTTCCATGATATTACATTTATTTCAAGATCTCACCAAAGTTAAGCACTTATATATTTTATTTCTATTAATTGTTAAGCAGTTTTTTAAATATCTCCATTTAAATTCATTGGGAGTTTCAAATATTTGACTTTGGCTAGATTTTTCCTGTACTGATCTAGAAAAGCAAAAAAGTCTCATGCAAGCAGCAAGTACAATTGTTTTCTGATAATCTTCTGTTCCTATGTTTTGGATGCTGGCAAGATAATTCTTGTAATCTACAGGTGAACAAAAGCTACTAGATCTGTTTCCATGGTATAATTTCAAACTGTAAACTTGTGAAAGTTGTACAAATTCTATTGATTTCAAGAGGCAATGGAACTTTCCAGTTCCATCCTAAACAGACTTATACCCTTCTAAGCCCATTAACTTCAATGGAGTTAGAAGGTTTAACTGTGCTTACAGTGACACTGTATAAATTTTTAGCATCGTCTGAATCATGGCAAAATTATTTTCCACCGAAATCCAACAACTTCCCCCCCCCTTTGAGTACTGAAACATTACACATGTTCTGGAATCTACTCAGTCTATATCAAGCCTTTTTCGTGGGGTGCCCTCCTTTGACCATTTTTTTAAAGTTGTGAGCATTTTTTTTGAATATGTGAAGAGCCCTAGCTGTGCTATGAGTGGCCTCCCCACCCCAGCGTTCATTATCATAATGGGGGAATGGGGTAGTGACTTTATCATTATTTAGTAACAAATTGGGGACCTGTGAAGGGACATAGAAAGGGGCAGAGGTTTTGGAAATCCCTCCCACCCCTCAAAATCTTCCCCTCATTCACTCTTCACGATCTCAGGGTCTCAAAAAGACTGATTCTTCTGTTTCTTTAACTGACTCTCATCAATATTCTCTCTAAATGATTAATGCTGTATATAAAGCACAGAAGAGCTGCGGTGGCTCAAGTGGTTAAGACGCTGAACTGCAGGCTGTGGAAGGTTGTAGTTAGCAGTTCGAGACCTGAGTATGCCGCATGACAGAGTGAGCTCCCGTCTCTAGTTCCAGCTCCTGCCAACCTAGCAGTTCGAAAGCAAGAAATTGCAAGTAGATAAATAGGTACCACTTCAGTGGGAAGGTAACAGTGTTCCGTGCACCTTGGTGTTTAGTCATGCCGGCCACATGACCACGGAAATGACTTTGGACAGCGCTGGCTCCTCGGCTTTGAAACGGAGATGAGCACCGCAACCCTAGAGTCGGATTCAACTGGCTTTCGAGCAAGGGAACCTTTACCTTTGGAAAGCACAGAAAGCTACAAACACCTAAATCCTTAAACTCACAGTGTATTTAATTTTTTCAGGTTTGTTTTCATTGTAAGAAAGAAGTCTCTAGACTGCAGAAAACAAAAAAAAGCAAATGTTAAATTAACTGTCATAATTTCTTCATTCAATTAAGTATTAACAAAAACTACCCCTTTCTGGTATGTTCTTCCAGATGAAGAAAATCATTTCACCAAGGCCAACCAACTTTACTGGAGTGACTGAATTTGTCCTTCTGGGTTTAACCGATCATCCTGAACTGCAGGTGCTGTTGTTCGTTGTATTTCTCTTGATTTACATAATCATAATAGTGGGCAATATGCTAATTTTTACTATGATCCTAATAGACCCATCTCTTCACACACCAATGTATTTCTTTCTCAAGGTCCTCTCCTTCTTGGATATCTGCTACTCTTCAGTTACCCTCCCCAAAATGCTGGTGAATTTCCTGTCTGAGGACAAGAGAATTTCCTATATTGGCTGTGCTGCTCAAATGTTCTTCATGCTTTTCCTAGGGGCTTCAGAATGCTTCCTCTTGGCAGCTATGGCCTATGATCGTTATGTAGCCATATGCAAACCTCTGATGTACATGACCATCATGAATGAGAAAGTTTGCCTTTCACTAACAGTTCTGTCATGGTTCTTTGGCAATTTGGTTTCTCTGCTTCAGACAATTTGGGTTTTTGCCCTGCCATTTTGTGGATCAAATCAAATCAATTATTTCTTCTGTGATATACCACCCCTTATTAAACTATCTTGCATTGACACCTCTTCATATGAGATGCAGCTCTTTACAGCAACAATTCTAGTTATTTTGACACCGTTTTCCTTCATTGTTGTGTCCTATCTTCTGATTATTTACAGCATCCTAAAAATGACAACAGTGGAAGGCCGTCAGAAAGCCTTCTCCACCTGCTCTTCACACCTCTTGGTGGTGACTTTGTACTATGGGAGTGGCAGCTTGGTCTACCTGAAGCCCAAATCCATTCAGTCACAGGACAGTAACAAAGTGTTGGCTTTGATGTACACTGTCATCACTCCCATGTTGAACCCAATTATCTACAGCTTAAGGAACAAAGAGATCAGTGGGGCAATAAAGAGGATGGTGAACAAGACAATGAATCGAAAAATATTTTTCCATGAGACATAGTTTATCTATCATGGCTGTTTGGTGGTGTATAACGTTAAGCTGATAATATATTTTTAAATGCTATACAATTTCCCAAAGTCCAAACAAGTGTGAGGATCTAGTTCATTTAGAAGACAGTAGCATATATCCTACCACTCTGTTCAGTAAGGTTTGAAGTCTCCCTTTGGCCTAAAGAGTCTTTAAAATTGAAAAAGCCACCAAACCTGGAGGAAAGTTTCTTTGGGAAACTTCTGCTTTTGCTGTGTAGAGTGATAGGATGCATGCCAGCTTTATCGAAACTGGATATGATCCTGTTCTCCTTTCCAAAGTATAAGTAAGTCTGGCTCTTACCATTCAGGGACAGTAGCTGCTTTTACCATCTATTCCTTTTTCTTTTCTTTTTTTACAGAGACAAGGTCTCAGGGAATGGCAAACATACTAACAGCTTTATGTGACACAGTGTGGCATCTCTTGTCCACTCACACATGGTGCCTACCACCCTCTACACGCTCTCCTTTTTAGATTATGGTTGATAAGTAGGTCAGGACATCACACTCACCACTCTTTTAAAATCTACAGAGAGTTATGATCATCTTACACTTGAGGTCCTCTCTTTCACTCCTAGAGACGTCCACAGATAGGATAGCCCAACACCCTTAGTAATCAGCCCTCACTCACACAAAACTGTTGAAGTTAGGGCTCAAACACTGTCCCAATCACTTGCTGCCACCATCAATTCATATCTTAGAAAATATGTATGTAGACCAAGATATGAAATTGTATGTGTTAGGGTTGCCAGGTCCCTTCATCACAGTGCGTGGGGTACTGGGAGCATTCTGGGGTGGACTGGGATGCCATGCAACACACTGACATCAACTAGAAGTGACATAACTTCTGGGTGATGTCAGCACATGGTGTGTGGCATCACTGTTGGAGGGTGGGGGCAATTTCCTCCCACCAGCCAGCTGGCTGGTGGCAGGCAGGAGCCAGCAAAAGCAAGGGATCCGCTGCCCCACCTGGGGAATGGTACCCCGTGTGTGTGTGTGCTTCTTTCCTCCAGACAGAGTTAACCAAACAAGAAAGCTTTTATTTATGATATAAACAAAATACTGAAGTAAGTGAAGTATAAGAAAGAATGTTTCACTTCCACTAAACTCTTCAACTGAGGTCTTATACCTTAGACTGGGATCCTTTAGTTACACATTTACCATTTTCAGTCTGTTCCAAACAGCTCTTCTATATAGTTCTCCTCAGTCAGAAAGACCCTTTTCACCTCAGCCTTTAAACTGCCCTTTTCCCTCTTTGCTGCTAACCCCTCAGCTGTGTTTTTTTAAAGTGAAGTATAAGAAAGAATGTTTCACTTCCACTAAACTCTTCAACTGAGGTCTTATACCTTAGACTGGGATCCTTTAGTTACACATTTACCATTTTCAGTCTGTTCCAAACAGCTCTTCTATATAGTTCTCCTCAGTCACAAAGACCCCTTTCACCTCAGCCTTTAAACTGCCCTCTTCCCTCTTTGCTGCTAACCCCTCAGCTTTGTTTTTTTAAATCAATTCCTGTTTTCAAGTCTCCCGCACTCAACATTCCCTCAGCTCTCATTGGTGACTCTTGGAGAGAGGCAGACACTAGCCTGTCCGGCAGTCACACAGTCAACAGGAGCGGCAATATGGGAATTCCCAGGTCATGAAGGAATTGTGAAGTCTTTTCTGGGATTGTAGAGTTTTCTTCAAATTGCCAGTCTATCTATGTATCAATTGTATTTTATGCATGTATTAAATAATCAACAGTATGTCCAGGGGTCATTTCCTGCAGGAGCGCACAGGACCAGAGCTACGGCAGTAAAGAGCCCAGGGGACGGGCACATGCAACAAGCCCCACCCCCTGCTCTCAGCAGCCCTCAGTCAGAGCAAGAAGCAGCCAGGTAAGCTGCAGAGCTCCCCCCTGGCCCCCCGATCCAAAACAGTCCAGTAATACCTTTAAGACCAAGTTTTATTCAGATACAAGCTCTCCCTCCTCTGCGAGGACAGATCCACACGTCCCCCCCCAAAAAAAAGCTAGCAATCCAGAAGAGTCCAGTGGCGCCTGAGTGGTGGGTGTTGCTTTCTGACACACTTCCGGTGATGTCAGGGGGTGTGGCATATGCAAATAAGTTATGCTAATGAGCTATGCTAATGAGTTCCTGCACCTCTTTTTCTATGAAATGACCCCTGAGTATGTCAACAGTATGTTTAACAAGAAGAAGCATATTTGATGGTGAACAATTTATGAATTTAGACAATTTGGAGCCTTATGTGATTCATTTTTTTTCTTTAGAGATTCAGTCCTGCCACCATCTACTCCCCCCAGTCATCTGGAGCCAACATGGGAAGTGAATTGATTAGCCACAAAAGTGTCTTCCTTTCCAGCTTTCTTCAGCTGAGCCAATAGGATTTCACTAGAAAAATCCTGTCTGGTAGCTGTGCTGTAGATTCAGTTTCTTTCAAACGTTGCTGGCTTTGATGAAGAACGACAGCAACGTTTGAAAGAAACTGAATCTACAGCACAGCTACCAGACAGGATTTTTCTAGTGAAATCTAGTGGATGGGGTGTCACTGCTTTAGAAAGCTGCAGAAGAAAGAAAGAGCACACATATGGCACTTGGCTGCAATGGTTGCAGTCTTGCTTAGTTAGAAAATACTGGACATTTATATATACGGTATTTTGTTAGTTTATTTAGTGAAGAAGAAAAAAATGGTGCCGAGGGAAATGAAATATATAATGGTTATACAGCCCCTACATGTTTCACATGCAGCTTCATCAGGCAGAATCATTCTGATTTTTCTTCATTCTGTTCCTATAAATACACTGGAGCAAATATTCCATTTCCTTCTGCACCTTTTTGTTTTTTCTTCTTGGTTTTGCCTTCCTGCAGCCCCTTTTTTCTTCACTGTTTATTTACTGGACAAAAGGGCAAATACTGGACTGTCCAATTCAAAACTGGATACCCTGAAGCCCACCAATTAACCCCTGCCTCCCAATCCCTAAATTGTGTGACTAGGCATCCAAAAGGAAGGTGGGCTGCAACAATCAGAAACAAGTATTTTGAGGACTTTGGAATGGCCCCCTTCTTGTGGTTCACTCAGTATGTAGTGGGGTTGCGAACTTCAGGTTGGGGAATTCCTGAACATCAGGGGTTGGAGCCCGGGAAGGGTGGGATTTGGAGAGCAGCAGGACATCAACAGGGTATAATGCCATCCAAAGGAGCCATTGCCCACCCACCCCTTGAATGAAACACAACACAAGTTATGGGTTAAACTGGGAATTGTATTTATGCATAAGCTGATCTGCACCGACACCTTAAAGCATAGGTTGCATTGGGCTTGCAAGGCAAGCCTTCTACCAGGGCAAACCCACCCTGGCTCAGAGCCAGGTCTGGGATCTTTCCAGACCTTACTTATCACAGCCCGCATACCAGTGCATAGATGGGAGGGAAGGGCACATGCGGGACTTAAGGCTTATCATATGCCCCCCCACCCCAAAGAGGCCCCCAACTGAGTCACCCTGACTGCCGAGCCCATAAGCACCCAGTATGAGGACCCCCCATATTGCTGATATCTCAGGATGCTTGCCAACTCAAAATCCTCTCAACCCATGCTTTTCCTGCCTTCCCAGTTAGGGCCTAACCAGCTTTACCAGGCCTATTTATACCTCACCCTGTCCAACCATGTGAAGCAGGTGAAAAAGTGCCCCCCTTGACCCATCTGGGTGAGGCCGAAAAAATTCCTGCTCAGCCCCCAAAATGGTGACCAGCTAATCCCACAAGGTCCAAAAAAGGGTGGGCAGGTGGGGAGCTTGCACCAGGCCAGTCTGAGCAAGGATGGCAGCCACTGACAGACCTGGCTGGTGGCTCACCCCTTGATTGGCCAGGGCTCCCATGCTGGGCCATAATTGGCTCACTCCCCATGCTTCATCCAAGAAGATGTGGGGCGTGGGCAAATGCCAGTGTCTGCTCCATGTGCAGGCACTGGTCTTTTCTCCATGGGAGATGATCTCTGTAGCCTTGAGCTCACTGGTAATTCCAGGAAATCTCCCACTCCCACCAGGAGGTTCTACAACCCTAGTACTTACCTTATTTTTGTCTAGGTGCCGGGCAAATTTATTTATTTTATAAACACACTTGTAAGTGAGGGCCTCCACTTTTTTACTTTCTGTTAGGCTAAGATGAAGTGGTTGGATTGTTGCAAGAATTGCTTTGAGAAGCTGAGATGTCAGTTATTTACACGTGCATTTCAGGGTTAAATATGATTTTTTTTAAAAAAAATTACTTTTTCCCACTCCCATGTGTCTTAATTAATTAGCATTCCAGAGTTCATATAAAAAGGCAGGGCAGCCTCTTAAGACTACTGCTAAGGGGAAATTTCAGGAGATAGGAAGGATATCATCTGACCCATTAAAGCCCCATTAAATGTCAGCTATTTCTCATAAGAAAACCCAGACATATGTACAGAGGACTTTAATTGTTTTCAGATTCAAATCAACAATACAACACATTTCTGTAGAAAACAATTAACTATGCTTCACTCTGTTATCTGAATGGCCTACATGTGTATAACCCCCAATACTTGGAGCATCCCCCTGGAATGTCAAAAGCACATACACATGTATTCCAGGGTAAAACAATATTAAGAGACAGCTGCCTCTGTATTCCAAGGTCCAGAATTTGGAGTAGAGATCACCTATGGGAATCAGGAGATGCCCAGAAATGAAACAGGCAGAAGACAGAAGCAAAGTTTAAATCTTTATGAACAGAAATAGCACAAGAAAATCAGGAGAGACACAGAAAGCCACATGCTCTCAGATGTGTGCACACACATACACACGGTAATCATAACCCTAAACAAAACCTAACCAATGAAAAGATTGATATTTATTTGTTTGTTTTCATTTATTTATTTGATTTATACTCTGCCCTCCCCTCTGATGCAGGCTCAGGGCAGCTTACATAATTTTTTATTTTTTATTTTTTAAACCATTTTAAAAACACAAAATTGTCCAAAATCTTGTGGACGTTCTGGAGGGTCCATGGTGGAGGGTGAGTGAAGGAAGCTGTACAGCAGTGCTGCTCCCCAAGTGATCCCAGGCAGTGATCAAACAAGATGAAAGGAAAAGCAGGGAAAAGACCAAGGCTGGATAACAATTTCCCTGACTTCTCAGAGCTGTGTGGTTTAGTAGTTTAGAATATCAGGCTAGGATCAAAGAGATTAAGGTTCAAATCCTCACTCTGCCATTTAAGGTTGCTGGATGACTTCAGGCCAGTCACACACTGTCAGCCAGACATATCTCACAAGGTTGATATGAGAATAAAATAAATAGAGGAGGAAGATGTAAGCTGCTTCAGGTCAACTGGGAGAGAAAGGAGAGTATGGCATAACAATCTGATTTTGCCTACAGCTTGTCATTTAAAGGTGATTGATCTGGCTGTTGCTTCATCTAGTACTGCTGGAACTCTTTTGGCAGGAGGCAGAACTGCTCATTCAGTATTCAAACTACTATTAAATGTCATGAGCACAGTGAACTATGGCGTTGGTGAGCAAGGGCTGAACCCCAGTACTGAATAATACATCAGTATTTCTTAATTTTGGGGGGATGCTGTGACATTTCATCAGTAGTTGTTAACTTCAGTCAACATGTGTGTTAATAAGGAATGAAGTTTGCTGAAACTCTGGGTTGTATCTAAGGGGCCTTCCTGCTGGTGTAAATGGGAACTGATGGGGATCATGGAAGGGAAACATGAGGATCATGGACTTGTATATATAAAATCTACATGGAATGGAAACTCAAATGAGGAGGAAAACTGAGTGAGGCCGAATGAAAAATCTGACTGGATCCAACACACAATAATATTCTCCAATTATTAATATTATTTTATCCAGACATGCTCTCAAAGCTGAAGTCTTTTTTATTTTAATCACACGTGAACACTGGAGGATTGTTGCGCCCCATCTGTGAGATAATAGTGGAACCTTGGAAACATGTCCCTGAGGTTCTGAAGAATGGTATATTGTTCAGCTGTGTCAGAACAGAATTCCTTTTGAGTGAATACATTATCCTGGCTCTCTTTCTGTCTGCCTCTGATGGTGATGGACTTTCAGGTCAGCAAAAGAACATTTCCCAAAGACAGCACAAAATTGTTACAGTTTTGTTTCATCAAAACAGAACAAACGAGTTAGTTCTATTTTCAAGGGATACAAAGATTTTACCCAATAAGCCACTGATCCAGGAGTAATCTTCACATGACTGATTTTGTAGACCACAATACAGACATCTCTATTGGACAATAGGTTAATTTGTTCCTGTCTGAAGCTTTGAAGCCATGCTTGTGATAACCCTCATAGACAGCTTGGCATACAATGTGATGGTAAGTTCCCTGTGATACATTTCAAAGCTTTTTGTTTTTAAAGCTTCATTTTAAACCATGATTTGGAGATTTAAGTAATGCTTCAGGGTAGATTGGTGACAATCATTTTTGTGAAATGTCTGTGGAATCTGAGGCCAAACTTGGTGCAGGACTGTAAATATTTTTTCCATGTCGTAGGTGAGTTAGGGAGCAATCATAAACTGGACTGCTCAGAATCCCAGTCAGGTCTATTCAATGGAGTTTACTAACCTGGAAAGTATTCTTGAGATTAGACCGCTAGCCACACCCAGGAAACGTTAAACACTACAAAAAGGCTACACAGTGTAATGATCACAGAAAAAAAGCAGAAACCCCCCCCCACTGTGCAAACAGCTTGCCAAATATATTATCCAACCTCTTTTTATATAATGATTGCAACAATATGTATTGCCGACAGAGTTCATAATATTGAGGACTGTGTCCTATGGCAATATTTTAATGGCTTTATATGTTCTATGAAGATACTCAGGTAACAATTGCCAACATATTGTGCCTTATGAGGATTTGTGCATGTGAAGAGTTTTCAGCTTTAATAAGGCTTCTCTAAAACCAGGAGCAACTGGGCACCCATTCCTGTTGACCAAGTAGCTGAAAGCTGAAGTTAGAAGTGGAGGGCACATTGTTCTATGTATTCATCTTGAATTTGGACTTTTAACTATTTTGCTTGGCTTTTTGTATGGTGTGATGCATTACTGTTATTGTCCAATAGTTACATGGTGACTCCTTAATATAAAAGTGTGTGTGTGTGTATAACAAAAATAAGCAACTATTATATAAAAATAGATTGGATATTATATTTGGCAAGCTCTTTGCATAGTGTTTTTTTTCCCTATACCCAAGGAAACTGCAATTCTTCCATTATACTTTTTTTGAAATGTGAGAACTAGTTATCACTAAGGACTGACTTATTATACCTTTCTAAGTTCATTGAGATCTATGGGCTTATAAGGGTATAACTCTGCTTAAGGCTGTGGAACACACATCTATTTAAAATGTATGGCTGGAAGACCATAGAGAACTGACATAATAATTTTTATTCTGTCCCATTCTCCCTCCCTCCCTCATGTGAACAGAGAGAGAGAGAGAGATTCCAGCCATTTGTAAAGTAGAATTCAATTAAGCAACAATGAAGAGCTGAAATTTTGCTTAGTTACATTTGAATGTTTTGAGATGCTGCTGCTTGTGCTGGATATCATTTTAGGATCTACCTTGTGCTGGATATCATTTTAGGATGGTATTTAATCTATTCTTCTGCCTGTAGAAAGGGAGGAGGGGTTCACACAGAACAGTGGTTATAATCAGAAGAGTACATTTAGCTAATATTAAGGACTGGAAAGCCAAGCTATACATAACAGTGGAGCTCCATAATTGGTACTCCGGATGTGCTATTGGGACCTACAGAACAGCCATGTAGGGATCCCAGTATCAGTCAATGCTTCCAAACTGGGGGAAGCTGTGTAAGCTATTTCATCCTTTGCTGATTCCCCAGTAAAACTGCATTCATAACCCAGATCAGAAATTTTGCTCATCAGATTGACCAAAAAAGAAAACAAACAAACAAATCTATCACTAATTTACCATGGGAATATTTATCAAAAATATACTGGCTTGATGAATAAGGGAAAACAGGAAGAGAAAATGGCTGTGGTAATTATAAACATCTCTTAATTCTTACAAAGATTTGTGAAGCAGGTTAGGCCCTGTGAGAGTGCCACATGGTCAACCAGCAAGCTTCCATGGCACAGTGGGAATGTCAATCTGGGTGTCCCAGATCCCATATAAGATCCCTTATATAAAATTGAAGGCATTTCAACTTATTTTAATTACTAAGAATTGGAGCTTGAGCCCAGGCAAGCCCAATCTCATCTGATCTCGGAAGCTAAGCAGGGCCGACCCTGGCAAGTACATGAAAACCCATATGAATACCAGTGCTGGGATGCAGAGGCAGACAACAGCAAGCCACCTTTCTGAAACATCCAAGCCCCACTAGGGGCTGCCAGAAGTCAACCATGACTTCCAGACAGACACACACTCACAATATTCACTGAGGGGAAAAAAGAACTGGAGTTTAAAGATAAACTACATATGACATTTTTTGTTTTAGTTTTAGTTTTTTGTAATACATCCATTTTAATTTAGATCCCAGTGGCATCTTTAAGAACAACAAATTTTTATTCACGAAAGCTCACACTTTGAATAAACCTTTTTTGGTCTTAAAGGTGCCACTAAACCCCACCTTTGTTCTGTTGCTTCAGACCAACATGGCTGCCCTCCATTTTAGGTGTTTTTGGTGTGGCAATTTAATGTGCTTGTTTCCCCATTTTGTTAACTTTTTGCACCATTATAAGCCATTTGAACTTATATGGATTCTTTATTTAAATTTATACATTATAAGTCATTTTACATCCTTTATATGAAAAGCAAGCATTGATTTTAATGTCACTACTGGATTTTTGTTTTGTTTTGGTCCAGAAAATGATGGCTGCATTTTCATCTTGAGCACCAAGAAACGTCACCTCTCAAACCGAATCACAGTAATCATGAAAGAATGCCCCTGAATAATGTGGTTTTCTGGTCTGAGCTAGCCAAATCGGGATCAACACTTGTCCTTTACTTAGCCCAGATATTTCACAAATGTGGCAGGTTCGGAGGCTATGGTTCAAGAATCCATGTATGACACTGATTTCTCATTACCTGATTGAAGAACACTTGCTTGTTTGCAACTAAATGCAAGATCTGATCCACCAGGGAAGCACTGTGTTCAGAAAGATATGTGGGGACATGAAATTTCTGTTTCTGATTTCCTTCTGTGATCACAACAGTGAAAATATTTGTAATAGAATAATCTAAGTAATTCCCTATGTTCTGTGGATGGAAACAGTGATGGACACCAGTTGGAGAAATACAACAGTGGTCACTGAATTCCATCTTCTGGGATTTGGCTATCATCCTGAGCTGCGTATCCTTCTTTTCCTGGCCTTCCTACTGATTTACAGTGCTGCCATGCTTGGAAATCTCCTCATTATTGTAGTAGTTCTCTCTGATAAGCGCCTTCACACTCCCATGTACTTCTTTCTGGTGAATCTGTCCTGTGTGGAGGTTTGGTATGTGTCAAATACACTGCCCAAGATGCTTGCCATTTCCCTCACTCAAGAAAATAAGATTTCTTTCAATAGCTGCCTCACCCAGTTCTTCTTCTTTGGCTTTCTGATTGGTGCAGAGTGTTGCCTTCTGTCCGTGATGTCCTATGATCGGTATTTAGCCATATGTAGACCGTTGCATTATAAAACTCTTATGAATAACAAAATGTGTCTCTTTCTTGCATTTGGGTCTTGGGTGAGTGGGCTCCTGGGAAGTGTCCTAATAACTGTTTTGTTTGTGAAGTCTGCCTTCTGTGGCCCCAATGAAATAGACCATTTCTTTTGTGATTTTATCCCTTTGCTCAATCTCCTGTGTAGCGACCCTTATATAATAGCTTTGCTCACTTTCCTCCTATCCTTTTCATTCACCCTTCCTCCCTTTCTGCTAACCTTGTCCTCCTATGTTTGCATCATACTTACTATCTTAAGAATCCCATCCACCACGGGGAGGCAGAAGGCCTTCTCCACATGTTCTTCTCATCTCATTGTAGTCACCATTTTTTATGGCAGCATAATCATTGTCTATCAACTCCCACACAGCAGCACACTGGACGATCTGAACAAAGTCTTCTCTCTTTGCTACACAATCTTGACCCCCATGGTCAATCCCCTCATTTACAGCCTCAGAAACAGAGAGGTAAAGGAATCCCTCAAAAAAGGACTGCTTCAGTTCATATTAGTTGGTTCTAATTCATTCAAGTAGCTGTTCATTGGTGTACTTTTAAGTTGTAGGAGTTAGCCCGTGTTGGATTCTCACCCATATTGGAAGACTGATGGTAAGGTAAATCCCCACTACACCTTGTATCATGAATGAATTGTATAGTTTGCCTGGTTTCTAGAAGTACCTTACAGTTTCATTGCAGAGAACATAACACATGGTTTAAGATATGGCACAGTGTAGTTTTTGTGATGATCTATGATAGAAGAAATAAATATGGTTATTTCTGGCCCTGAGCAATGTTTGGATGGGAGACAACCTATGAATTGTGTATGAGTTGTACTAAGCTTCTTGGAAGAAGAATACAATAAGAATGTTTTAAAAAAATGCACTGCACAGTGAAGTCAGAAGTTATTAATGTGCACCTGCTCCTTGTAGATTTTTTAAAAAATCTTCAGATACCCAAAATGCTACAAAATGTACATTTTACATTAAATTCAAAGAGGTTTATCTGGCAAGACTGGAAACATCACAGTTTGGAACTCTGAAACCTAAGGTTTGATTCAACTAGCTCTACTAGTACAAAAAAGTGAAGGGGATCCCTCTGAGGCCACTAAAAATGCTATTCGTAGTTCCCTCTAAGCTGTGCTAGGGGGGCACTGGTGCACAAAATTTTAGATGCCAGCTCAAAGGTTTCTGTTTCTGCACACAAAGATTCCCTCCCTCCATTAGTAACAATGGAGGATAGAAGCACTTTCTTCTAGGGCCCATAGAACTGGACCCCTGGTCCAATCTTTTTGAAACTTGGGGGGATTTTTGCAAATTTGGTGCCTCTATCTCAAAAAACAGCCCCCAAAGCCCCAGATACCCCCTGATTGATTCTCCATTATAGCCTATGGGACACATTGATTATAATGGTCCCCATAGACTACAAAGGAGCCAGATTTATTTATTTATTTTGCACAACCCTATTGTGCTTTTCAGTAAGCTGCCTTAAGTCACAGGGAAAAGTGGGATATAAATATTTGAATAAATAAGTAGTTTGGGCAGGTTGATAACATTTGATCAACTTCCTGTTTGTTAGGTTAGGCAGGGTTCTGAAAGTGAGTGTTTCTGCTCTGTTAATGACCTGTAATTTGTCATATTTCACTTTAAAAAACCCAAAGTAGACTGCAAGAAGTCCCTTCCCCCCGCGCAAGTGCTGGTATGTTGTCTAAGGCTCAGCACAAGGCAACAGTCTGCGGCCAGTGGACTGGCACAGGTAGACCTGTTCTCTGGAGGCCAGGTCTACAAATATAGTGAAAATGGATGGGTAGACCTATTATCTGGAGGTCAGGTCTACCAATATAGTGAAAAGGGAAGGGTAGACCTATTACCTGGAGGTCAGGTCTACCAATATAGTGGAAAGGGGTGGGTAGACCTGTTCTCTAGAGGCCCATTCCCTGGAAGGATTGGCCAACTAAGTTGCCAAGTGCAGGTAGTGGGACTATTACTAACACAGGCTATTTACAGTGCCCTGGGATCTATGGAAGTCCCCTCCCCGAAGTTGGCTGAACATTACATACTGTGATGCCAATGAGTCAGAAAGGGATGGGTAGTGGAAAGGAGTGGGTAAGACCTGGTTAATTATATGATTTGGAATAGGCAAAGAGAGTCTTAGTTTCCATGTGCCTGTTCTGAAGTACATACTTCCCCCATGAGTACGATAATATTCCATATCAAGCCAACCCATTCCAGTATCTTAGCCAAAATTATAATGATATATCTCCAATTGACCTGGCTTTATTATGTAACTCATTTTTTATGTTATCGAATGATTTTGGATTAATTATTGTATCTAATCTGTAATAATGAAAGGAACTATCCACCTATCTGACTGCCAATGGCAGAAATAACTCCCCAGAAAATAAAGTGAGGTGCCTCAACAGTGGCCACTGGCTTCAGATGATCATTGGGTTTACAGTGCCACAGAGAATCTTGGCTCACATAAACTCCAGATCGCCCATCACACACACACACTTTCTGCTTTGGCACCTAAGTTTGTCTCTGGCAGGCAGAACTGTCCAGAAAATAAAGTTAACCATTTCAACACTGATCACCAGTTTCAGGATGATCATGGGACTGGCAGTGCCAAAAACGAAGAGAATCCTACCATCCTGGCACAGATTAGTGCCCAAACATCCCTCTGATATTTGCAATGGAACCAAAGGTATACTCACAAGGAGCCAGCAAAGGCAGACAACACAGACTGTGGGGATGGGTAACATTCCATCTGTGACAAATCAAAGGGGGCTTAGCAACTTTCCTGGCATATGACAACCTATGTCAGGCTAGGATCATGTTTCACATCCCCACGATGCCATGGGGAGTATCTGGCTGACTTTGAGACAATCACACACATTCAGTCAGACCTATATCATAGAGTTGTTGTAATAATAAAATGAAGGGTAGGAGAATGATGTGTCCCCAATGGAAGAAAGCAAGAATAAGGAGGATAGAACGTATCCCCTCCTTTACAAAACAAAGTGGGGTTTAAGCACCCCCATGAGTTATCACAGCCAGTGTCATGTAGTGGTAGGTTGCCAACTGATGACTGGCATCCAGTAGGACATGCAAGGGAGACATGGGGGCTTTTGCCATAGAGTTTCCTGCAATTCCTAGAGTTGCATGACTTCCAGATTTTCCCTGAAAGTGATATCATGTTGTTGGTGATTTTTTTTAAATTAAGTTTTTCACAGAGCAGGAGGCTGGGATTGCCAGCAGATCTACTGCCATAACTAGAGACCTGGCAAACCAGTGTAGTAGTCATACTGTCAGACTTGAATCTAGAAGACCAATGTTTAACTAACACATGGGCCAGGGTTGTTTTGAAGTATAAATGGCTAGGACAAACATGTTGGTCTCTGTTCCACTTGCTGTTTCAAGGCCATCACAATATAAAGGGAAGTAAGGATATATCATAGAGTTGTTGTAATAATAAAATGAAGGGTAGGAGAATGATGTGTCCCCAATGGAAGAAAGCAAGAATAAGGAGGATAGAACGTATCCCCTCCTTTACAAAACAAAGTGGGGTTTAAGCACCCCCATGAGTTATCACAGCCAGTGTCATGTAGTGGTAGGTTGCCAACTGATGACTGGCATCCAGTAGGACATGCAAGGGAGACATGGGGGCTTTTGCCATAGAGTTTCCTGCAATTCCTAGAGTTGCATGACTTCCAGATTTTCCCTGAAAGTGATATCATGTTGTTGGTGTTTTTTTTTTTTTAATTAAGTTTTTCAACAGAGCAGGAGGCTGGGATTTCCAGCAGATCTACTTCCATAACTAGAGACCTGGCAATCCAGTGTAGTAGTCGTACTGTCAGACTTGAATCTAGAAAACCAAGGTTTAACTAGTGTTCAGTAACTGCTAGGACAATGACAAGGATGTTGCCATCCACAGAATAGATGTAAATCAGCAGAAACAGAAAGAGGAGAGGAATCTGCAGATGTGGTACCTTCCCAAATCCCAGATTTAAATCAGTAATGACAATTTGATTTCCTGATTTTGCATTTGCCATCTCTTAATCTTGAAAGGTCTGGATTCAGCCAACTTTTCACACTATTTCCCCATTAAATCTTGTCCAGTTCTCTTCCTTACTACACTGCATGTCCTACATCGCATTTGTTCATGCTGGTCTCATGTTCCTAAACATACCCTTTTGGTGGCCACAAAGGACTGATTTCTCCCATTTTGCATCAGTGTGAAAACATTTTGGATCAATCCCTGTGTAAACACAGCATCTATAAGGCTATGGATTATAACTGTAAACTGAACTGTACAATAAGTGTGCCAAGGACTGGACTGTGCGGTAGCCCAATGATGGTGCCAGCCTCCCAGACTGTAGACACATGCCAAGTCGAGGGAAGCCTCCCCCTGGAGCAGTGTGCCAGCCAGAAGTGGACCCGTGGAGATACCCGATGCCTTTCGCCCCTGCATCCCTGCTGGAGGCAAATCAACCTCTCTGACACTAGAAGCACATAGCAGCCAGCAGCAGTTCCCTATGAAGAAGCCATGCTTTACATGAGAAGTCTGAGTGTTCCTGCTAAGGACTCCATAGAAGGACTTCTTCTCCAGCATGCAGACACCCTTTCCCCCCATCTTCTCCTAGCTTCACCAAGAAATGCACGTACTCATCCTCAAGTTAAACAATAGAACTTCACCATGATGGGATTAACAGAGCGGTCAAGCATACCCACCACCCATCAAAATAACACAGATGCAGATCGTTGGAGTGCTGACTCTAATGACTGGCCAAGCACCTGTTATGATGGTCTTCTCTTTTCCTTTGTCTTATGCCATCTACTCTAAGAGGTGTCACTATTAGTACACATTATGTCAGTTGCCAAAAACCTAAGTCCATTCTCTTGACTCATTAAGCAACTAGCATTTTCTAGCCTCTTCCTAAGGACTACATGTCTTCGTAGCCCACACCCCAAGCCCCTCATAGGGTATATAAGAAGAACATCTGCCCATTACTCACTCTCTCTCTCTTTCCTACCTACCTGACCCCACCCTATCTTGCTGACTCCATTCCTAGTGCTGTCTGGAGTCTCCCACATGTGCTGCTGGTCAACACATGACCCCTTCTCTAGTATTTTCCCCATTTTTTGCTGCAAGATCGCCTCGTTGCATCGGACAAGTAAAGTATCACCCCAATCAATGATACCTTCCTGCTAATGCAACTGTCACTGTACCTTTCTGTCTAAATTCTTAGTTCTGTATCACTTGAGTGTATGATTGTTTTGTTTTATATTGTGTGTAAGAATTATTAGTAAAATAAATTATTCTATTTAAGACCTAGCCTCTGTATCTATTTCTTGGGATCTGGATAAATTGGACTCTGGTATACTCAGATTATTGCTCCCTTTATTTAAGCCATTTAATATTCAATTCCTCCATCTTATTAAAGAAATAAGGCAATTTGGCTAACAGAAGTATAGCACAAAAAATAAACAAAACAATGAAACTGGATTAGGCAATTAGAGTACAGTGAAATAAGAACAATATAGTACATTCAAAAAGCCAGTAAACAGATTACACAGCCTGGAAACAATGAAATAAAGGTAGTATAAATGTTTCCAATACAGAATGAGGAGGGATGGAGGGGCTGTTTACATTCTCAGACAATTAGAACTCCAACCCTATTTGCAGTTATGTGAACAATGGCAAATGATGATTCAGTGTAGATTACTGCTCCCTAATGCTGAGATAAGGCAAAAATGTGGTGAATTAATAATCCATAATTATTTCAGTGCATTAGCTACCAACCCGAATTATACATATGTTTAGGTACTTGAAACTATTGGCAAGGGACATTTCTTGTTATATCAATTAGCACTTGGGTTATGAATGCAATATTACACATAATTTGGAATGGAAAGGTCTTAAGTTTTAAAAGAGCCAGTGTGAGTGTAGTGGTTAGAATGCTGAAGTAGAATCCAGGAGACCAAGGTTCAAATCCCCACTCTACCATGAAAGCTTCCTGGGTGACCTTGGACCAGTCACACTGTCTCAGACTTAGCTTAGAGTGTTGTTGCAAGGAGGAGGAAAAAATGATGTTCGCCAAATTGAGTTCCCACTGGGAAGAAAGGCAGGATATAAATGACACAAAGAAAAAAATATTTCAGATCAAGAGTCAGTGTTTTTACCAGTTCTCTACCCAGAAGCTGTGTAACACCACAGAGATCTGAATTTTATGGTGATTCATTGTGAGCAAAAGATTTGGGATTGGTAATTACCTTCAAAGCCTTATACGGCCTGGAACCAAAATTCCTAAGGGACCACCTCTTCCCATATACACCTCAGAGAGTGTTACGCTCTGAGAGTCAACATCTTCTGGTGATCCCTGGCCCAAAGGATGTCCACTTAGCCTCAACCAGTGTTCCCTCTAAGCTGAGTTAGTGTGAGCTAGCTCACCGTTTTTTAGCCTCCAGCTCACACCCTTTTGCCTGAGCTCAGGAAGGAGGGCTCCAGAGCCAACTAATTTGTGCAGCAGCCAATTCACTCGCTCACAACGTTAATGCGAGTAGCTCACAAAGCAGGATTTTTGCTCATGAGACTCCACAGCTTAGAGGGAACATTGGCCCTCAACCAGGGCCAGGGCTTTCTCTGCCCTGGCCCCTACCTGGTGGAACATGCTCCCTATTGAGATCAGGGCCCTGTGGGATCTTACTCTATTCCACGGGGCCTGCAAGACAGAGCTGTTCTGCCAGGCCTTTGGCTGAGGCAGCGGGGCATTCACATATGCCCCCCTCCTGAGGTTGTGGTCTCCCACCTACTGATAACCGGCCATACCTAGTCACATCAGTGGGCCGGATTCTCCCTACGGCAAGCATGGCTATTGATTTAATGTTTTTCTGGTTTTATTGTATTTATTGAAATGTTGTGACCCGCCCTGAGCCTGTTTACAGGATGTGCGGGATATAAATGCGGAAAATAAATAAAATAAATAAATTGACCAAGTCCCATGTAAACTGAACACATTTATAGAGAATGATTAGGTAGCAGTGCATAATATAAAGGAAGTTGATAACTTGCTGTATATGGTAAAAAAAAATCCTCCTCTTGAGATTTGAGACTAGCATGCATCCAGTGAAATTAGGCCAGAGCATTGAATAATCATAATATTCTTTTTTTTCTAGATATGTTTGAGATTCTATAAAAGACACATAGTAGTAAAGAGATCTCAAAAAGAATGCCTGTTACCCCAGACACCCAGCAAATAAAGACATGAGACAATAGCATGAATTTAGCTAGTTTATTTTAAAAAAGCTGATCAACATGATATTAAATATGCTCTGATATTTAAAGGGACCGGCTGCACTAGGCAGCCTGACCATAGCTGCGTATGCGGGAGAGATCCATCCTGACTTCAGATTTGGGCATTGTCTTCCAGCACTTTTGTTTATCAGGGGGGAATAACAGAATGTGCCAAGAGATGCCCATCCCTGTCCCCTTCCCATAATGTGCCTAAAGGCCACTACCAGGTTCTGAATGATGTTGCTCAGCACCAAGGGCCACTGCTTCCCAAGCCCTACCAGTGATGTGCTGTTCAGGAATTTGACTAGGAATTCCCTGTTGAAAGTTAAGGCTAGAAGGCTGCTTGTTATGGAATGCTACTGTGGGGGAAGAAAAGAGCTAATATCCTTAAGTGAAACAGTATATGAAGAGATGTTGTGAACTGACAGTGGGGGGGGGGGGGCATGAATGAAAACAAAAGAAAACATGGACCAGGGAGAAGAGAGAGAACATTTCCTTGCAATTGTCCTCATTTAGGTTGGGATCTTTTGAGTCAAAAAAAGCACTAGGGGCTTGGTTAGCATCCTGTTTTTTTCTAGCCGAGGTACACAACAGCATTTCAGGGAGCTGGCCTGCCCTTGGCTGAATATCATACTAGGCAGGTGATCTGAATTCAGCTTGATCTTCCTATTATCTTTTCATACAACACACAATACAACACACACACTGCTAGGTAGGGTTGCCAAGTGCTTGTAGCAGCCGAAGCAGGGGACTCCCAGCTGGCGGCTGGAGCGCGCACATGCGTGCAAAGTGCATGCGTGCTGCACGCACATCACCCGGAAGTGATGTGATGACGCCGGGCATGCTGGGGGTGGGGCCATGACCATCCAAGGGGAAACCATAGGGTTTTCCCTCAGATGACCGTGGCCCCGCCCCCAGCATGCCCAGCATCGTCACGTCCCTTCCGGGTGACGTGCACGATGGGGTGGGGTTCCCCCCAGGGCCCAATCCGCCAGCAGCAGGGAACAGGCCTCTGGGGTGGGGATTTCCCCGCCCCCCTGGGAGGACTTGGCAAGCCTACTGCTAGGGTTGCCGATTATGGCTCAGAAAATTCCTGGATAATTGGGGGTGGAGCCTGGGTAGTTAGGGGTTTGGGATGGAAAAGAACTCAGCAGGTTATAATGCCATACAGTCCACCCTCCAAAGTAGCCATTTTCTCCAGGGAACATGTCCTCTGTTGCCTGGAGAACAGTTGTGATTCTGGGAGAAGTCCAGGCCCCCACCTGGAGGTTGGCAATCCTACAAAATGGAAAGAAGGAAAACTCTTTTTTCTTGCCTCTTACAGCTCAGGTGAGAAATTCCTCTTTTCCATGTAAATATTTTTCTTTTTCGTCTGTTGTTCCTTTCTGAAGTATTGCAGGGTATAATAATATAGGATCTTACAATACCAGAATTTCTATCACCATTCATTATAATATCCTATGTATTCTCACTGGATTAATTTTCTAATTAATATATTGAATTGCACATATGAAGGGGGGAAAGTATATTATATATTCAGTGTATTTTATTGCCATTGTGAGCTGCCCTGAGCCCATCATAGGATAGGGTGGAATATAAGTGCAATCAACCAATCAATAAAAGTCTGTAAAGAAGTTTTCAGCAGATCTGAAGGGCCAATTTATTGATCCGAAATGTACAACACACACAAAAACCAAAACCCCAAAGCACTGACTTTATTTTATTTAAAACATTTTAACTGCCTTTCCACCTATTTTGGGGTCTCAAAGGTGATAAACAATTAAAACAATAAAACAAGAGTAAAAACATGGGTTCTAAATGTACATTGATCAAATACAAATACAAACATTTCCAGTAGTGTAATTGGTTTAGGAAAAGACTTACTGAAGCTGTGAGCTTGAACCTCACTTGGAGCACTTGTATGGGAAGCAACAAGGTATTTATGTAGACTGTGCCAGACTTACTCCCTGGGATATATAATGGGGACCTCAGCTAGCAGGTATTGGAAAAGACCCTTCTCTCCCTGAGTTGCTGCCAATCAGAATAAACAATAATGAATTAGATGGACCAGTGGTATTACTTACTTTAAGGTGGCCTGAAGGATGTTTATAAATTAAAATTGCATGTAAGATATACATGGGATTACAATGGTCTGATCAGGAACACGCTAATGAAACTGGATGAAACAAAAACTGTGATAACGGAAAGAAGAGAACATTCATATATCTCTATACAATGATTGGATGATAAGGTTTGTTTGGGGTTTTTTGTCCCTGCCCCCCCCCCTGCCCCAAGGAACATGTAACACATGAGCTTGGGAAACCCAAACAACTCTTAGGGCATTACAGGTTTATGGAGGGGGGGGGAGAGGCTAGAGACTGCCTCCTTCTGGCTGTTGGATTATGTTCATTACTATGCAGTAGGGCTGCCAGGCCTCCTATTGACAGTTGTTCTTGCCTGCCACCCCTCCAAGCAGTGTGGGGATAATATAAAAAACAAACGAACACCAACCACCTGACAACCCTAAATGTAGAAGCCTGAATAATGGGCCCTCAGTGAAGAAATACATGTTCGCCAGGATATCTTGTGAAAGGTGGGATTGATGAGGTACAATTCCCAGACACCCAGACTGTGGCCACAATCAAAGTGCTTCTAGCCCCCAGGGATCTGGACTATCAGTGGCTTCTGATCATGATAGATATCTACTTCCTCCAGTACCAGAGGCAGTATGCCTCTTTAAATCAGTTGCTTGGGAACACAGGCAGGATCATGGTGTCTCTGTGGGCTTTCTAGAGGTAGCCGGTTGGCCACTCTGTGAACAGAATGCTGGACTAGATGGGCCTTTGGTGTGATCCAGGATGGTTCTTCTAATGTTCTTACAATCCAATCCAGGCAGTCCTATGGAACCATCACCCCCCACCCATATTCTTGCATATTCTCAGAACATTTGCCTCAGAACTGGTGTTCCAGCCAACTGGATCCTGAATTCTGCCAACTAAAAGTTGTAATAGCCTTTTGAACAATTTCCAAAGCTTCATCTTGAGGCCCATTTTGAACAAATGCTATGGCCCCAGTCAAAGAATTGCATAGAGTGGGAAAACAATTTTCAGCTGCTTGGTCAGTCCCTAAGTGCCTGGATCAAGTATTAGAGAACAGAAATCTAAGCTTTTGAAAGAAAGCCAGTCAGAAAATGTTCATACTTCTATCATAACTTGACATTTTTTGAGATTCCCCAAAGAATAACTCTGGGCTCAGGGATTCAGAGAAGTTTGTTTCAGTGCCTGGTTCACTTTGGAGAACCCAAAGCTGTACATATTTGGATTGAGAAGTGATTCAGGCATTTACTCTTCTTGGAAGAACTGTTCATCCAAAGCCTCTTGGACTGGAATACAGTCCAATGAAGGAGTGAGAGCCAGCATTGTGTAGTACAGGGCTAGGAACTGAGAAACTCATGTTCTATTCCCCACTCAACCACAGACACTTACTGGATGACTGTCTAGCCCCAGATTTAGAGTTCTCACTGTAGCCACTGCCTCAATCTGTGTGACCTACCAGCTGGCTCCACGTATTAAGGTCACCTGCCATTTACACCTTCAGGGCAGCATTCCTCAGCCAGCACAGCACAGCTGATGCCATCAACAGCCACTTCACCAACCCCAGGAAACAGGGCTCTGCCAGAAGACTTCACTGCTCTGCTTAGGGTTGCCAGCCCCCAGGTGGGAGTGGGGGATCCCCTGATTTCACAGGCTTTTGCCCACCACCAGCCAGCTGGCTGCCAAGGGAAGCCCCACCCCCAACTGTCACGACCCGGCACGGCATCCCCAGTGTGATGACGTCACATGGAAGTAACATCATCTCACCAGGGTATTTTGGGCTAAACTCTATGGTAACCTGGTGTGATGACATCACTTTCACATGACATCATCACACTGGGGATGTCACATGTGGCAACATTGCCCTGCTCCCCACTCCTGGAAAACTCCACTCCCTGCCAGCAAGAGTGGAAGACCTGGCAACTCTAGCTCTGCTGTACCCTCCAGTATATCTAAATAAATAAAAACAAGAGCCCTTTTGATTGTAGAATATGATCGAAACAGATTTTGCAGCAAACCCTAATATTATTTTTTGTGTGAAAATGTTTTCTTGCTGCCCCTGTATTTCCTCAGGGCTCTTAGGACGTCTTTATTCCTTATGCTGTAGATAGCAGGGTTTAATAGGGGTGTTATTGTAGTATATATCAAGGCAACTACCTTCCTTGTGTCTTCTGAGAAGATGTATTTGGGTTTTATATAAATCAAGCTGCTGGTCCCATAGTACAAAATCACCACCAGGAGGTGTGAGGAACAAGTGGAGAAGCTTTTCCACCTGCCATCAATGGATGCCATCTTTAAAATGGAGGAGATGATAAGGACATACGAGACAAAGATGAGAATAAAAGGAGTGAATATAACCAAAATGGTGGCTGTCATCAACTGCCTCTCATACATTGAAGTATCGACACAAGAAAGCTCAATCAGTGGAGGGATGTCACAAAAGAAATAATTGATCTTATTGGAACCACAGAATGGCAAAGTGAATACCCACATTGTTTGCACCAATGAGACCACATTTCCACTCATTACCGAAAACAAAGACAGCGATAGGCAAACTCTCTTGTTCATGATGACCATGTATCTCAGTGGATTGCATATGGCTATGTACCGGTCATAGGCCATGACAGCCAAGAGAACACATTCTGTACTCCCTAGGAAAAGCAAGAAGTACATTTGGGTGGCGCAGCCTGTGTAGGAAATGTTTTTATTTTTGGAAAGTGCATTCAGCAGCATCTTGGGGATAGTGACTGAAGAGTAGCTAATGTCTAGGATGGACAGGACCCCGAGGAAGAAATACATGGGAGTCTGAAGAGAGGCATCTACTCGGGTGACCACAACAATTAAGCAGTTCCCAATTAGGGTGAAAATATAAACTAGCAGAAAGACACAGAATATTAGCACTTGCAATTCAATTCTTTTGGACAGTCCCAAGAATACAAAATATGTCAGTTGAGTTCTGTTCATCCTTGGCAGTTCTTCCAAGATTTCCTTTGTGTTTTCGCCACACGAGCCACTCACACATTGGAGACAGGGGAATGATTCACTGAAAGGGGGGGGAAAGCACCTGTCATCTTCCTATGATAACATCGTAAATAAATATAATCAACCAAGGATGGCTCTGTTTAAATGCTGGGCTGGTGGCCTTTTAGATTTCATCCTCCTCATCTTCCCCCTCCCCAGTCTATGTTCTTCTCTTGTTTCACACATGCACATGAACACACACATCTATTGGTTCAACCAGGGTGCTGCTGCTGCTACAACAAAACCACCCTGACCCTTTCCTGCCTGGGAGCTAGAACAAACTCTGACACTCCTGACCTCATTTCCTCTCAGACATATTGAAAAAGACAGGAGGAAGGCGTATTAGCTGTTCCAGTTCCTAGGCAGGTGCAAGATGAGGGACAGGCAGGAAAAAAGCTGAAATGGTGGCAGCAGTGGAGGAGGCAGGGTGTTCACTGCCCCACTAGGCTCCCTTGCTTTTTTGCTGTTTGTTTTCCTTTCTGACCCACCATCTATTAAAAATCTTTAGCTTCATTGCTTTCTGATTCCCAGTTCTTCTTCTTTTTAAGTTAAAATTTCACTAGCAGGCCTAAGTGTTATTTCTCTAGGCCCCACATGTGCCCAACCCCAAACATTACTAGGGCTGCCAAATGGGGGTGGGGGGCGGGGAAACCCCCGCTTTGGAGGCCCGATTTCCGCTGCGGCAGAATCTGGCCCTGGGGGGAACCCCGGCCCCTGAAGCTGCGTCACCAGAGGTGACACACGACGTAGGGCACGTTGGGGGCGTGGCCCAGATCATTGGGGGGGAAACCATATGGTTTCCCCCCCGATGATCTGGGCCACGCCCCCAATGTGCCTACATCGTGCATCACTTCCGGTGACGTTCTGGTGGTGCGCGCACGCACACACATGTCCCCAGCCAGCTCCCGGAGCGGAAGACGCTCCCCCCGCCGGTGAGTGAATAAGATTTGGCAACCCTAAACATTACACACATTGACTTCATCAATCAATCAGTTTTCAGCCTGGCTGACACACTCCTGCCCTACCTGGCTCCAAACTCCAGGCTTGCTTTCTTTTCATTGGGGCTATCAGCTCCATGTTAGGAAATTCCTGAGGTTTTTTTGGGGTAGGGGGGAGCCTAGGGAAGGCAGGGTTTGGGGCGGGGAAGGAATCTTAGTAGTACAACAGCTACTTTCTCCAAATGAATGGATCTCAGCTGTATGGAGATCAGCTATAATTCAGGTAGATCCCCAGGCCCAGACCCCACCTGGAGGCTGGAAAGTCTACCTTCCACAGGTGTGCTTGCATTCAGGGCCTGAAGAGGAACACAATGAGATTAGGAGACACTGAGCATGCTACAGTAATTACATAGTATATCTCTCTTTCTCTCACTCACCTGCTCTTTCTCACACACATATTCAGGCCTTGGCCTGAAAAAAAAAAGAACATATGAAAGGGAATATTAATAGTACTACAATCAAAGTCTACAAATTCAATAGAGTGCATGTGGAATTTGAAAATAAATACAGAGAATCTTTGAATACAGAAATTGAATCATTTGAGTACTGATTTGCACATTGGCCATATTCCCGAAAACGGAATATGCTCTCCTGTCATTTCAGGACCTACAAATTTTAATATGTGGTCCTTTGGATTGTTGCTCTTTGCAATAACATTGCTGGACAAATATTGGAAATTCACAACTTGTTGAATCATATCCAAAGGTTGTAAATAATTCATTCCATCAGAGAAATGGCCTTCTGTGAATGATGCTTTAGCTGGACAAGGAACTGTGCATGCAGCTGTGTACTAGACATGTGGTTCCTGACTCTGCAAAGAAATATCTGCCACTGTCATTGGTAATAGAAGGGACAATTATCTTTGAGGTGGATTCAATCTTAATCTCTGTGCATTGTTAAGAGAAATTTTCTTAATTCTGATTTAGCAAATTTCTTCCTGAAATCCAACAATCATGTTTCTCACCCACTTTTTAGGAATTTAGAGTCAAGTGCTAATCAAATCCACTTTAATCAAAGAGCTATTCAAAGAAGGGAAGGGTGGGAAGGGAGATACTGAAAAATTTCAGAATTTCATTCTGCAGATGCTCACAGGTAAGTTATCTTTTTCCAAGCCTTCCTTTCCTCCTGCTAGAACACCACCCTGTGTTATGTAACATAAAACAACTGAAAAGTTGCAAAATGCACTGATTTCTTTTCAAAGAAACCTCTATTTAAAAAAAAGACAAAAGAGAATAAGAGGAATCAACTGCTGTATCTAAAAATGAATTTCGTAACAAAAAGGATTTATCTTTCTGTAGCAATACTACTGGGCAGCAGTGAGAGCATATGGTTGGACTGGAGTCATTGAACTGGATGTAATAACTCCCTTCCACTAAATTAAGAATCTTCTTTTTACAGAAGGCTGAAGCACAGAGAAACTGCCCTTCCATTGTCATGGTGTGATTGGATTCAATTCTGTCTTTAGGTACTATAGAGGGTGCTTCTAAGAAAATATCAAAATAGGGATGGGCATGAGCCCAGAAAATGGAGGTTCATTGGAGGTTTGTGGTTTGGGGTTTTCATGAAACCTGAACCTCCATGAACTCCGGTTCATGGTTGTGCAGTTCAGCCCACTTGGAAGTGAGATCCAAAGGCATTTAAATGCACTCAGAGCCCACCTCCAGGTTGGGCTGTCCCAAATGAGCTCCTAGAGTGAGCTTTGAAGGTTTTTATAGGCCTTATATGGGCAGGCCCTGATATGGCTAGGCCCTACCTGGAAGTGAGCTCTGAAGGCCGATAAAGGCCTTCGGAGCTCAATTGGGCTAAAATGACCTAGAGTTGGGCTCCGAAGGCATTTAAATCCCTTCAGAGCCCAAGAACATGTCTCCCACGAACCTCACAAACATGGAGATTTGTGCACAGATTGTGGGAGATACCTTCACCCAAACCCCTGGTTCACAAACCATTAAATGGCCTGGTTTGTGCTTGAACCACGGTTTGTTTGTGGGTTTGTGCCCATCCCTACATCACAACAACAGCTTCAAACTTCAAAAGGTCTAACTAATCCACAAGATGTACAGAATAACATTTATTTCTTGTTACCTAGTTAGACCTTCTGAAGCTGAGTGGCCTTCAGAATCCCTTTAAATTGCTGAAAAAAATGAAAGAGAGACTACAGATATCACTAGAGATGTCATGAGAAGTGCTAAAGCAGCCATGGGTTTGGGAACTGAGAATAAGTGAAGACGTAAAAAGTATAGATAGCAGTCTGACATTTCAACTTGACAAGACTGAAATGAAAGCACTGAATGCATGTAATTCATCCCAGGACTTTAGCACCAGTTGACCAAAAAGTAAAAGGAAGGAGCTGGTTTTCTTCTTAGTGAACACTTGGGGGGGAAGAAGAGGGGGAGGAGGTGGAGGAGGAGGAGGAGGAGAAGGAGAAGGAGAAGGAGAAGGAGAAGGAGAAGGAGAAAGGAGTGGGGAATCAAGCACGATTCTCCCATATTAAAGTCCATACACTTAACCGCTACACCAAACTGCACACATCATGCATCACCATTCTTTGATCTTCAGAAGTGAAAGAGCAGGAGCCTTACATATATATAAAAAAATATCTGAAAATTGAAAGAAGGTGTGCCTGAAAATTTCCATAAGGAGTCAAATTTCAAAAATCCCTGTGTACTGCAACCTTTGGTTTTACCATCCCTCTTCACAAGCAACAACGAATACACATACAATCCATGTATAGTACTGTGCACTTGATTGATCTTTATACATGCAAAGAGTACTTCTCATATTGAAGTCAATAGACGTATAGCTGAATGTGTGATACAAAGAGTATATTTATCCAGGTACTGGTGCCCGATTTCATTAGTAAAGTGAACACATGTTGATTCTTGCTTACAAACAGATATATGCACACACAGGCAGGGATGTATTTGTATTCACTGAGACATGTAAACAGGGCTATGATATTCTGTCAATATGCTGTTCAAATTCTGTATTTTTTTTAAAAAAAAACATGCAGTGTCTCTTTTTGAAAACCTATTTGGGAGGGTTCCACAGAAGTCTAAACACAACAAAATTGTGATCCTTCCATAATTAAAGTTTAACTAACTTTAATGAGAAGTAAGAACCACAAAGAAATTTAGAATGATATCCTAATCTATAAACCAGTCTAAGTATACTTCAGATGTGTCTGACTGAAATCCATTTCATTGATTTGCTTTGATGGATATTTTTATTTCTTTACTAATTTTTTAAAGATTCCTCCTTCCCCACCATTAGCTAGAAGGGTCAAAAACTATTAGATTCATGACTAAGAGTAAGTAGGATAAGATACATTGACTTCAAGGATCATGGGGCAAGATTTAGAGCTGAAAACATATTCATATACCTTCTTAAATATATTATTTAAAAGGTACCATGGGTTACCCTCCCAGTCAACAATTTGTATTACTATTTGCACACATGATATTAACAGGAAATCAATCCTATAAAATACAAAGTAACTATGTAATCTATTCCATGCAAATCCAATACATGCATTGGGCAGGAGGATTTGTTGTTTGTCTAACAACTTGTTTATTTTATTTGTTTGCTTGTTTTTTAATGTTTTGTATTATATCTTTTATTTAGCCACTCACTTAATAGTTGACATTTTTTTTTCTCTTTCCAGAGTTTAGATGCTGTCATTCAACTATTTTTTCTGTGATACAGGATAACATATCTTGCATAATTCAGTAAACATAATAGTAGGTTTGTCCCACAAAATTTTGCCACTTAGTATTTTCCTCAGACTGGCAGTATTATAGATTTAAATGGCAATTTATACGTAACACTGCAAGAAATGAGTGGGCATGCATATAGCATGTTGATTTTTCTCTCTGCAAATATACCAAAGAAAAGATTGAAATAGGTTGAGAACATTTACAGATGTATTGCAAGGAACCCTATTAACCATTTGAAACCCATGTTCGCCTTCCCTAGTCAATATATTTTCCCACTTCATCTCAAATACATTTTTAACATGAGGTTTAAAAAGCAGAATAATAATTTTACCTGGGTCTCCACCTTCAAGCACAGAACTCTAACCACCGAGTCCTGGTTAAATCATGGTTGTGAAATCTTCTGAAATAAGCCCATCTGTACCAGGAAATGTCAGTACAGAATTTAGTGATACTCCTTTAAAATTATTAAAGTTTTAGGATTAGTGTAGAAGAAAATATTTGCTCTCCCTCAGTATTAAAATGCTCACAGTTATTCTTCTTACCTATAGTTTCCTCACACAATTCTTCTTATAAATCATGGATCTGACTGTTTGTGGCTTTATTTCTGTTCCCTTTCTGGACCCCTGAGGCAACTTTTATTTTATTTTTTATGCATATGATTTGAAGCAGAAACATTATTATTTCTTTGTCTTGATTGGCTTGTAATAGTTTCTCTGTTAACTTCTTGAGACTTGAATAGATTGTTTCTTTTTCTTTAGCCCACATGCCTGATCCCTGATACATTGCATCTTACCCCATTAGTAAATTCCCCAGAAACCTTTTTCCACTGATGTAGACACTGTTCTTCATTACTGTTATGGTAAAAATGAGCAACAGAGTTGCCAAGAACACTGATGATCATCACAATGTAGAACACATAACTTTATGGCCCTCATCTTCCTTAGTGTGCCTTCTCTTTCCTTGAAGATTCCATTGGTTGATCTGAGGGTTCAGAAATGCTAGTTGAGTCCTGGTTTATAAAAAGAGGTGCTTCTCTTCCTAATCTATGGCTTCATCTAATAAATTACCAATATGGCTCCCAGTTTTGGAGGTGGGCAATGCCCCCTCAAGTTCAAACAATTTGGGATGCGTGGCATCTAGTAATAAACAAATATGAACATTTCATTTCACCCGTTTCTCTTGCTGGTGTATCCAATTTGTTTCTTTTTTGCCACTCCATGCCATTCTACACCATTTTTTACACACTCATACAGCACTTTACACAATTTTGACACAACTGACAATTTTAATAGTAATATTTTTAATTCCATTTTATTCGTCTGGAAATGGGAAAAGATAGTTGCAATTTCATCCCAAGCAAGGAGACCCCCCCCAAGACAGAAAACAATGTTTTTTTTTTTAAATCAAGGGAGTGCATTTTCACAACTCACTAAGATCCTAGGTTGAAAATATTATGAAAATGCCCATCAATAGTGTCTCAGCAAAAGCAGAATCTGGCTGTGAGTTTAGCAGGACCCTGTGCATTCGGTATAACTGTGAATCTGGCCAGAGATGTGTCAGGTACAAAAAAAGTCATTAAGTAACAAGGGAAGAATATACAGAAACTAAGAAAGTCCCAATGTAACACCCCTATTCCATTACACAACTCATCAACAGACTGCAACTTTGCTGTGAATCAACCTACAACACACTGGGAAGCCTCCCCTGCTCAAATCCTTCCTTGTAGGCATGGGTCATGATGGGAAATGCCCAATCAGAAATGTGACATGCTTGTCATAGTATGTCAGCTACAAATCCTACCTTTTTCTACGTTTCTGAATCAACCTGTTACCATACTGCCTTCATTTTTGCACACCTTGCCTCCATGTTTGTGTTGAGACCCACGTTCTTCTATGCCATGCACTATGTAAGTCATGGCCAGCAGAAGTGAAAAGCCAAAGGCTGAGGGGGAAGAAGGAGGACACCTCATTCAGTTACCCTGGATGGAAAAATAGGCAATCTACATGAAAACCCCGAGGCTCTGAATTGCCCACACTCCCATTGTGATAAAAAAGGCACTGCCAGCCAGCCTCATCTGCAGGAATCATAGGGCAGTTCTTTCATTACACGAGCTGGGGGGATGTCAGGTGGCTTTCACCACCAGGTGGCAAGGGAGCCATGCAGCAGCTTGCACCCACATGGGATCCCAGGGCTTGCCACTCTGCAGTCTCCCCCAACAGGTGGGCTGGGGGGGATGGGGTTACATTGGGTGGCAGGCAGGTTGCCCAATGCGGTATCCATCATCATGCTGCATCAGTGCTCCTGCAGTTGCATACAATCAGGCCCATAGCCAGGATTTTTAAAGTCAGGGGGCATTTAAATTTCTTAGGGGGGACTGGCTAATCAAATTAAAGGAATACCCAGTTCCTTCCTTGCACCTGCCGGGGGCCCTGGGCTGGATGGGAAGTCGTGGGGCCTTGCCAGTAAGTCAGGGGGCCTAGCCCCGAGATTCCTCACTGTAGCTACAAGCATGCATACAATAAAGCCGTGGCCTATTGTCTCCAAATACTGTGTGGTGTTTGCTCCTCCTTCACCCTTTGCCCTTGACGGCATACTGTAATGTATGACAGGCAAGATGACAGCCTGGGTACAGTTAGTATAGTAGATCATCTAGATCTGAGGTGACAGTTAGTGTGTCATGTGACATGTCACCAGGTCCAGGGTTGCATCATCCTAACTACTGTCACCATGAGTCAGCACTACAATTCTGATTGGTGCTCTGATGTATATATTGAGTACAGTCTGTATGGCATTGTTCACTCTTGTGGATGGAATTTTATGCAGAGCACTTTGTCGGTTTGCCTGATGAATTGGGAACTACAAGTGCTGATGGACTGTATGTATATAGTTGCTGTAAATAAACCACTGTAAATAGTTCAGCACCTAGCCAACTCTGGATTGTGTTGTTATTAGTGCTTCCGATACGCTGACAGCCCTTTCCCTCTCCTCAGGCCCGCAATGAAGACTTTGCCCCACTGCATGACAATAACCTGCTTACTGCTCCTGTAGGGGACATTTTATTTGTACAAACTGGTAGACAGGAAGGAGGGATGGATGGACAGCAGCAGAATGCATGGGAGTTCAGTCCAGCTCCATTCTACATCCCACTTTTTGTTCTGGGGACATACTTTGTCCCTCTATGCTCCCCAATGGGAGTTCAGCTGAGTTGGGAGGAAAATGCTGAAGGAAACAGAATGCAGTGAAAGAAGGGTAGGAGCAGGCTTCATGAGACCTTGCACGTATGCTCTATTTCGACACCTTCACTTGCTTCTTGAGGCTCCTATGAAATGAAGAGGAAACTAACATGTCAATTCACTGTGTATGGTCTGCATGTAAGAACCTAAGAATATAAGTGAACATAAGAGAAGTCATGTTGGATAGATCCATCCTGATTCAAACTTGGACAGCATCTTCCACCACCTTTGTTTATCAAGTGCATGTACAGTACCTTTATTGGCATAGTAAATTTAACATGACATTTAGGATCAATCAGGGCTCTTTTTGTAGCAGGAAATCCTTTGCATATTAGGCGACACACCCCTAATGTAGCCAATCCTCCAAGAGCTTATGGTAGCCCCTGTAAGAAGAGCTCTGTAAGCTCTTGAAGGATTGGCTACATTAGGGGTGTGTCGCCTAATATGCAAAGGAGTTTCTGCTATAAAAATAGCCCTGAATATATAGAATTATAATTCATACATAAGTTAAAACATAGGCCACCTTCGTTTATCAGCAAAACAGCAGCATAATGTGCCAAGAGGAGCCAATCCTCATCCCCTTCCCCTGATGTGCCACAAGGCCACTACCAGGTTCTGGAAGATGTTGCAGAGCACCAATAGTTACTCCTTCCCAAGCTCCTCCCTGCTGCAAGGCCAATGGTGTGCTGTTCAGGACATGCTCTTCATCATTTCTGGTGACTCAGGGTACTTTCCTAATTCCCTACCTACCATTAGGAACTTACCCTATCCTTGCTAAACTAGTTATGATGGAAATGGTCAAAGACCTTGCCTATAAAAACAAGCACCTTTATGACATTATGAAGGAGAGAAAAAAAACTCCCCCATTGGCCAGAAAGACTCACTCAGCTGGCTGAATCCTGTCCCTGTCTCCCTTCCCTTGTGAAAGTATTAGTCTAATCTATTTATGAAGAAGAAAAAATCAGCACTGTCTGACCAATTCTCCACGACTAATTTTATACTGGGGGAAAGATGGATTGCATCCAGACACTCTCTTTTATCAGAGAGAGGTCCTCCATAGGCCACAGGAATTAACAGTTTTAAAAGGGTATTGGATAGAATTATGGAGGACAAGTCTCTCAATGGCTACTAGCCATGGTGACTGAGGGGAGCCTCCACATTTAGAGGCACTAAACCTCTGAATCCCAGAGCCAGGAGGCAGAATCAGGGGAAGGCCTTGGTCTCTATGCCCTGTTGTTGACTGCCTAGATGAGCTGGTTGGCCAATGTGTGAGACAGGAAGCTGGAGTAGATGAACCATTGGTCTGATCCATCAAAGGAAGACTCTTAATGCACATAAGTCTTTGGATCTGATCCAAGGTAAGAAATGGTTTGTGATTAGAAAGGAAGCCTAATCCCTAACTAGTGAGGAGGACACCAATTCCATTTCACCGAAGTCTAATGGACTAGACACATTTCTTCAGAAACTTTCTGAGGGCTTCCTTCATCTCTCGGTTTCTCAAGCTATATATCATTGGATTGAGCAGTGGAGTCAAAACAGTATAAAAGACAGCAAAGATTTTGTTTAGTGCTCTCAACTTCTCAGTCTTCGGAACCACATAAACAAGTACCAGGGTCCCATAGAAAATTGAAACTACAATAAGATGAGAAGAACAAGTGGAGAAAGCCTTTTTCTTCCCAGTGGTGGATGGGATTCTCATGATGTTCTTGATGATATATATGTAGGATGCCACAGTTACTATAAATGGTGGCAGGGTAAAGATGGATGAAAACACAGTAAGCATAAGCTCGATGGTCTTTGTTTCACTGCAAGAAAGTTTCACAATTTGGGTTATTTCACAGAAGAAATGGTCAATATCCTTGGGGCCACAGAATACTAAATGTGATATCAATATGACAAATACTGACATCTCTATGAATCCATTGATCCAAGAGCCAGCTGCCAGACGAATGCATAGCTTAGTGTTCATAATAGAGACATAGTGCAGAGGTTTGCAGATGGCTAAATATCGATCATAAGACATCATCACTAAGAGGTAACATTGTGTAGCGGTTAGGGAAGCAAAAGAGTAAAACTGAGCAATACAGCCCCATAGTGATATATTTCCATCCCCAGTCAGGAAGGAAGCAAGCATCTTTGGGAGGATGGTGCAAACTGTGCAGCTATCCAAGCAGGACAAGTTGCATAAGAAGAAGTACATGGGGGTATGAAGCTGTGGTTCAGAAATTACTAGGACAATGATGAGGATGTTGCCAGCCATCGTGTAGACATAGATCAGAAGAAATAAAGAGAAGAGAGGAATCCGCAGGTCCTTTACATCCCCAAATCCCAGGAAAGTTACTTCTGCAATGTTGGTTTGGTTTTCCCATTTTGCATTTGCCATCTCTTTTTCTTGAAAATAAAACACATCAGGATTTCTTTTTAAAAAACCATTTTTAGGTAAAACTCTCGCACACACTGATGCATTGGGATGAATCCAACTGCCTTTTCTACCTGTAAACCTGGAAGAAGGCATCCCAAAAGGGTATGATGGGGATTGTGAGACCTGCATAAACTAATGCCATCTGAAGAGTCTCTCACAGTGAGTTGGGAAAGATTAAAGGTAAAAAAACTGACTAGGTCCAATCCACTATGTTATAATAGACCACTAATTTATTGGTACAAACCTTTAAATAGAAAGAGCTTCAGAAATGTAAACTACCAGAAATCATAACACAGTTTCAATGTTCCTTATCATGCAGGGATTTCGAGCTATTACAAAGAAATTAATTCTGAGTCATAACTTATATGTGTTGAACCAAAGCTGCAGCACTTAGAACAGATTTCTGGATTGTGTGACACACAAACAGTATATTTCATCCTGGTCTCAGTCCTGTTTAGAAACATTTTCAGGAAGTCATAAGTGATGATGGTTTGGGGACATGACGATGTTCAACATATGACAACATCCATTTGTCTTAAGCTGCCTCAGATCTTTCTGAAGATACAACTGTATTTATGCTTACCTGGGAGTAATTGCCAGTTAATACGTTAGCATAAATAGGCATTATCATTTGCTAATCAACTTCTGTATCAAGCATCCACGTAGTCAATTTTAAGTGCTCAGAGTATAAAACCTGTATGGTTGATATGTTCTTTCTCTACATACATCGGCTATGATGTATGTATGTGTGTGTCCCAGCATCTAAAGTAAAGGATCAGATTGTAGGTGATATGAAAGTCCTCTAGCAGAGGCCCTGGAGAATCACTGCCAATCTGAGTACTGACTTTGTTGGCCCACTGGTCTGTTTCATTATAAGGCTGCTTCATGTGCTCAGGAACAATCTTAATATCAGTATCCCATAAATGTGTGTATGTGTGCTTAAGAC